GATATAGTAGATATAGTAGATATAGTAGATATAGTAGATATAGTAGATATAGTAGATATAGTAGATATAGTAGATATAGTAGATATAGTAGATATAGTAGATATAGTAGATATAGTAGATATAGTAGTAGATATGGTAGACATATATGGTAGCAGGAGTAGCGGAAGTAGCAGAAGTCTACTGACCATCACTCTGCCAGCGTAAACTCAAACCTTAGATTCGGCCCTTCATGCTTGAGCAAGCCCCTGCCTACGCGTAATGAATCCTCTCAAAGCAATACAAACTCTCGGCCTAACTCAAATGCCAAACTTTCAGCCAAACATGCCAAACTCAAATCAAAGAGGCCACAAATCAGTAGCTATATATATCTGAGGACCACCCACGAATTCTCCTACCACGCGCTACATCCACAATAAAATCACACACATCCTTGATCTGTTCAAGAAGTCTCTGCCGAGTCCTCGCAATGGTGACTATTGCACAGTCTCGCCCACCGAACAGGACAGTTCCGCCAGCACCTCACGGCCTGACAGCCCTAAGCTCAGTGGCCAAGCCAAGGATCATACGGCGGTTTTGAGCGGGCGCTCGACATGATCGAAAAAGACGTCGGGGCGCATGCTGCAGGGAATGAAGAGCAGCGGCGCAAGAGAGTTCAGGTCGAGAAAGAGTTGGAAACAACCAAAGAGGCTCTGAAAATCAAGGATGCCCGAATTCAAAAGTTAGATTCGTTATTGTCCATAGGTGACTGGGCAGGCGATATTTTAGAGTGGTTTGGTTCGGTCGAACAGGCACATCCCACGGAAGAAAAAACGAAATACGTCGTGCCCAAGTAGAGAGCAAGAGGTGAAAAGAAAGATTCGGACGCTATAAACGAGAAGGCCATTTGGCGCATGGCAGCAGGGCCGTTCCACTAAGGAATCACTCGACCTGATTGAAAAGGACAACTCAAGGTCCGAAATTGGCGCGAGGATGGTTCAGACGAGAGCAAAGCTCCACCGACCTCGAGCCGTGGTGCACATCACACCAGTGTACGCAGGGCCACCACTCTGCCGCGCAAGGTCAGGTTGAAAAAGCCGAGGCTTCCAGATTCGCATAGTGGAATAATTCCTCCACGAGATGACCAGCAATGCTGCGTCGCTTGCGGGTGCGCTTCCATCTAGTTTGATAACGGGATGGAATGCTGCGGGCAACGAAATCGGACTCTGCAACCTCCTCGTGGTGTTGCCTGGGGCCCTGGTCATATCTACAGAATATGACCAGAGCCAGTGCAGAGACGTGCTTTCCAGAGGGCTTTGTACTCTAGTGCAGACATGATATCCTTGCGGAACATGCTTTTGGGGATGAATGGCCGTGCCTCCATAGCTACCCAGCTTGTAAAAATTGACACCCTCTTGAATTCATCCCAAGAGTCATTAGTACAAACTCGTAAAGTACAATCTACCTTCTTATGTATCGCAGACTACCCGAGTCCTTCTCGCCCATATACACACATCTTCAAGCATCTTCCAAGTCCCTCTAAGCCTCCTTCTTCAACGCCTCCAGACCCTCCGTCGGCCTCGGCCCTCCACGACTCCTCCTCTCCTCCTCAGCACCGCTCGCCTTCCACGCACTCAAAATGAGATTCACAATGTGATCCACGCCCACATCCTTCTTCACCTGCGCGAAAACCGTCGGGCCCCCTTCTCGCATCTTTCTCGCATCCCTCTCCATGACTCCCAAATCAGCGCCCACAGCCTCGGCCAAATCCGTCTTGTTCACGACCAGCAAATCACTCTGCGTAATTCCAGGACCTCCTTTCCGAGGCACCTTGTCGCCGCCGCTGACATCGATAACGTAGATGATGAAGTCGGCCAGTTCGCGGCTGTAGTTTGCAGCCAAGTTGTCGCCACCGGATTCAATGAGCAGAAGATCGGAATCGAACTCGGCGTGCAGGTCTTCCAGGGCGGCGAGGTTGGCGGAGATGTCTTCGCGGACGGCGGCGTGTGGACAGCCTCCGGTCTCGATGGCGCGGATGCGCTGGGGAGGTAGAGCCGCGTGGCGGGTGAGAAACTCGGCGTCTTCTTTGGTGAAGATGTCGTTTGTGACGGCGGCGAGAGAGTATTTCTCTCTGAGGGCGAGGCAGAGGGCCAGCATCAGAGCGGTCTTGCCTGAGCCAACGGGACTGTAGAGAGCAGGTCAGTATCTATGAAGTAAAAAGGTATTTCTCGTGGTGAATGGCAAAGAACTGTGAACTCACCCGCCAATTCCAATTGTGAATGCACGATCAGCCCAGGTGCGGCCCTCTACGATGGGCATCTCTCGTCCGATATAGCTGCCGGGGCCATCAAGGATTTCGTGAGAGTGGCCGTGCTCTTGAGCTGAGAAGCCATTGTGCGAGTGCGGCGCGCTGCCGTCGTGAGAGTGAGTGTGCGCCATGGTTTGGTCTTACAGTGGGGAAAGATGAGAGAAGAAAATAAAGGGATACAAGAAGAAGAAAAGACGAGAAAATTATGGCCGTGAATATTCACTAAAGAAAACGACATCTGAGACGTCACGTCAAGTCAAGATCCAGCCAACTGATAAGAGGCGCGGGGGAGGGGTCCAAGTGTGGGTGGAGCCAAGAGCTGGATTTGACAGCTGAATTGAGCTTCAGATCTGATCTCTTATCTATACAAGTAATAGAAACAAGTCATGGCCCGTGTCGGCGATATGCGCCTGGGCCTAGTGGGCGAGAGTAGCAAATAGGTCAGATGGTTGGTCAATTCTTGTCTTCATTTGCTCCGTCATAATGTACAGCTCGTACACAGGTCTATATAATTACACAAGCCAAAGCCAAATCTCTTCCTTTGCCTGGCTAATATCTTGGTCTCTTTCTTCTATCCTCCTTTTTTTATTCCTTCTCCATTACTGAGCTGTCGGTGGCGCATTGGTATCATCCTTGGGAGATACCGGTGCTGCTGATACTTCAGACACACCAGCATTCTCCAAAGCCGCCGACTTCTTCTTGGCCATAAACTCGCCAATCTTGGTCAGCATCTCCTCTGACAGCTCCGGCTCTCCTTGCTCCGCGCGAGCTTCCCGGTTCTTCTCGTGGAACTCGTCCAATGGTGTCTGCATAGCCTTGATGGTCTCCTGTCGGCCCTTCTTCAAAGCCTCCTCCATCTCCTTCTTCTCAATGTACCACGCCTCGTGTCTTGTTCTGAATCTTGAAAACTTGTTTCTCAGCTCGTCCACAACCTGCTCCGGCATCGGTGGTGACAACAGTCCGTAGTAGAATGATCTGTCTTCAACTTGCTCGCGAACAGTGTCCGCAGGCATGGTTTCGAATTCTGGGACCTCGACCTCGGGCCAAGGAATCACAACGTTGAGACCGGGTACCACGCGATCCCACTTCTTGCCGTATTGCCAGCGGTCCAAAGACATGTTTGGGGACTGCATGTTCGGAGGTACCGCCTTGAGCTGATTTATGACGGTGTCTCGGGTGACGCCTGTGTCGGGGTTCGTCATCGGGTAGACGAGGCGGACGGATGCGATAGAAATGGGCATGGGCTGCGGTCGACTGGGGTTGCCAAACATGCCTTGAACAACAGCCTATACATCGTCAGATATTTAGCATAGTTGAGAGAATTTTCTAACAAGAATCGACATACCTGGTGGCGGTGCTCCAAAGTAACGGTTCCGGATTGTGGCTGGACCGACTTGATGCGATCAATCTTGCCCTTGTCCGGACCATCCTGAATAACCACTCTGTCGCCAGGCGCAAGGTTCAGCTGCTTCACGCCTCCAGCCCAAGCACAGCGCTGCTCAATCACTTTCGGGTTCGGTTGGTGCAGGCCATAATTTGACCAGTCCTGTCGCACATTCTCCTTGAAGGCGCCGTAGTCGTTAAATCCTAGGTCTCGCTTAGGCGCCAAAGGCCCCAATTCCCAATCTTCTTTCCGGGCTTTTCTTGCGTCTTTGAGATTTTGTCGGACTTCCTCGACTGCTGATCGGAGTGCAAGACGGCTTCGAAGCTTGGTGTCGACATTTTCCTGCTCCATCTGGAGTCTCGTGCGGCGAGACGCCTGGCGCTGCGCCTGGGCCGCCCGCTTCGCTAGTTTCTGCATGGCTGTGGGAGAGAATCAATGTCGTTTGTCTATGATTCTGAATCGCAGCCCATTGATCGCAATGGACGCCGCCCGCAACACCAGAGATAGATCGTGATATCGACTGATGGTCTTTTGCGGGACGACTACGACTTTCCAGATGGACTCGGAAAATCTTCGATTTGATCCAAGATGGGCTTAGCGCGGGACATGGCAATGCGGCACTGATAAGCTGATAGGGCCAGGCCAGGTTATGGCTATGGCGGGGTGTATAAGCACGATCATGCGCACTGTATGCTATGGGAGGCTTCTACTAGTGAGAGCTTGGTGTGCCCGGCTGTCTGACATGCCTGCGGCTCTGCAGCAATACAGTGCGCAGGCAACTCGGAGCAGGACGCGTTAGCACGGGGTACCTGTACTTGCTCTTGGCAGCACGCTAATGGCGGCGAGTACATTGTGATGCTACAAGCGGCGTCACGGAGTCTTGGAGAGATTGCGGTAAGATAAAGGGGAGGGAGTCAAGGAGAAAAGGAAGCAAAAGCAAAGCAAGGAAAAAGGAGAGTGAGTTTGATGCAGCAATGCCATGGCAAGGAGTAGCTGATACAAAGCAGCTACTGTACAGAGCACTTTGTACATGTCTTGGTAACTTGAACACAACGCTGCACTTGGATGGAGCACGGAGAGCACCAGTTCTCCGATGCCTTTCCTGCATTTCATTTCAGCTGCAATTTCAGCTCCGGCTCTGGCTGCAGCAGCCAAATCAACAAGAAGCCGATTACACTGTGCTTTTACACCCAACGATGGCTCTTATGCGTCCAGATCAAGGGCTACTCACGTATCTATAACTCCCAGTGGACTCAAGACCAAAGACGCCCAAACAAGGAAATGCGTCGTGAGCATGTCGATCATGTGATCCCTTAATTTGAGGTTCTGGCGCATCAGCTTCAACGCGCTGACGCTACTGCTTGCACTACCACCGCCGTGCAGCTCCCCCAGCCACGGCTGGACGTACCGGTACTAATTTATGACAGCTCTTCCGGCATGCATGCAGCAATTGCCATGGCCAAGTCCTAGAGGCGTAGGACTTTGCCACCAGGAGTTGCAGGGCCGCATGTCAGGAGGCACAGCAGGCCGTGTCACCCTGCTTAGGCGGCGGGAAGCGGTCTAGCTGGGCCTGGGGAAGATAGACGGAGCCTTGGTATGGTGAGATTAGGTGATGGCGGTGCCAAATACGAGGTTGATGCAGCAGCGCATTTGGTGTTGGTGCACTGTATGACAGGTTCGAGTAGCGGCCTGTTGTCATTCCCAACAAATCGTCCATTACCACTGCTAATCACTAGAGTAGCTGCTGCTAAGACAAGGCTACATATTGATTCAAGATGAAGCATCATGGGACGTCTGTAAGTATACGGACAGTGAACTTTTACTCCAGTAAATGTATCTACTACCTTACCTACCTTACTTACTGAAGGAGAGGCCACTCGCTGCACTACAACACCCAGCATGACCTGAAGTACTTACAGTCGACATCATCAATTCGCACATGATTGCACACCGAATGATTCACAGATCATCTCAGCGAGCTTGATGCAAAACGCAGCTCTAGTGCCAGATCAGGGTACTTGACTCTATAACCTGCCGCTGTTGATGATGCTGCGGCGCCCCGTACTCACTACATCTACTCGCAGCGGCAACATCCATGGTCCCCTTCTGCCCGCACGCGCCCCCGTAAAGCAGCCACAGGCCATGTACAGCTACTTTGTCTCAGTTTAGCGGTGGAGCTCCATCTTATAAAGGATCAAGTAACGCTCTTTGGCGCTCGCAAGTGCTGCGCCGTACGGAGCTCCGAGTAGCGTGTACCTGGCTCTAGCGCTGGGAGGTCTGCCTCGTCACATGTACCGGCCCTTATCTCCCAGCAGCGTCTCAGCCACCTCCCGCCGGCGACGCGTCCAGGCCGGGCATCCCTCGAGCCTCTGGCCGTCTGGCTGTCTGTCTCTTCTGCAGCCTCGTTTGCCGTGCCGCGTCGTGCCGTTGCCGTAGTAGCGGTCAGATAAGGTAGAAGAGCAGTGGGATTTATTGGCTACACTGTAGAATTAAATCCTTCAGTATAGGTACATGTGCCTGTATTACAGAGCAGAGCTCGGCGACCAAGCTGCAGCCGCTAAAAGAACTGATGAGATCAATGCCAGGTGCATGTGCTGTGATTACACCGAGTACCGAGTACTTCACCAACCGGAAGACTTGGTACCGCGTGGTAGCGCTGAGCTTTGCAGTGGCTGGAGTACGCACAGCACCGCACAGCATAGCAGGCAAAAGCCGGGGCCACCTGGACAGGCAATCAAGCCATTGGCGAGTCCCCAGAGAAATTGTTGGCTGCCTCAGGACGCGCTAGCCAAGGTACGCAGTACAAGAGCAAGTATAAGGTACAGCAGCACAGGCAGTGCTGAGCGCCGTCGTCGCCAGGGCCACTGCTAATTAGAGAAACAAGAGCTGAACAGCACCTGGAGTCCATCAATCAATCTGCTAGAATCTGTGCATATCTTATTTGCTGCAGATGAATGTCTGCCTTGGACAGAATCGGCTTCAGGAAATCATTTCGTAGCTGAGTCCTAATAATCTCTCTTATTAATATTCTCATTTTCCATCATTGCGGCTTTGCTCATTACGACACATATCCTGCATTACAAGTCCTCCAGGACCGCAGAGGACTCGCCAGCCCCCAAGAATAAAAAGCAGCGCTCGCTCCCCCCTCTCTCCACAAGTCACCCGGTAGCGCCAAGTACCCGGTACCTCGTGCCTGCAAAAGCCAAAAAAAGGCCCAGGCCTGACCCAGACCAGCTTCTCTCTCTCTTCCGTCACAATCCCCCTTCTGACGTCCATCTCTCTTCCTTTCATTCCATCACAACCGCCATCCACCAACGCCCGAGACGCTCGCTGCCTTCATTGTTACCAGCCGACGCTTCTTATCCATCTCCCAGAATCCCCAAACGACGCCATGGCTGAAATCCGCCGAAAGCTCGTCATCGTCGGCGACGGTGCCTGCGGTAAAACCTGTTTGTTGATGTGAGTGCTGATGCCCATCAAATCCTGTGTGCGGCACGCTTCCTCGCGCCGCCATCGCCCTCGAGCTTCGGCGCTGGATGCAACGCATCGCCATCTGTTCACAGCATCGAGCCCAGCTAACCCGTCTGCCGCGCAGTGTCTTCTCCAAGGGCGCTTTCCCCGAGGTACGCATTGAAACGCAGTCCATCTGCATCCCCTATTTTGCCCTCCGCCGCGTTTTCATTAGCCGCCGCCTTTTATTTTCCCGCCCCCAAGAGCCTCCACAACAGCATTATCAACATCATCATCGCCAATGGGAGATGAATCGCCGACCCGAGCCCTTTTTTCTGCCATGTCCTGCCAGTTTCTTGATGGTAGCTTTGCCGCAAGATCGAGATGGGGTGGTGCGGTGTTGGCATCAGCCCCCGACCGCGGCAAAATTTCTTGACGTGTCATAATCTGGCTACGGGCTCCTTATCAGCCTAGCTAGCAACCACCAAATATCCTTATCCCCATCAGCATTCTCATCACCACCATCAAGCCCTGCCATCCGCCATCGGTTTTCTCTGTCTTGCAAAAAGAGAGCGGAAGAAATGGGGATGAAATATACGACACCTTTACATGCTGCCCCATAACCAACGCGACGCTGACGTATAATGTCTTTTTAGGTCTACGTCCCCACCGTTTTCGAGAACTATGTCGCCGATGTTCAGGTTGACAACAAGCACGTTGAGTTGGCCCTATGGGATACGGCTGGCCAGGAGGATTACGACCGTCTCCGACCTCTCTCGTACCCTGACTCTCACGTCATCCTGATCTGCTTCGCCATCGACTCTCCTGATTCTCTGGACAACGTCCTGGAGAAGGTACGTCATCCGACTTTGCCATGTCTCTGAAAATGGGAGAAATGCTAACACGTTTGTGTCTTTGGTAGTGGATCTCTGAGGTCGTGCACTTCTGCTCTGGTCTCCCCATCATCCTCGTTGGCTGCAAGAACGATCTGCGAGACGACCCCAACACCATCGAGGCCTTGAGGGCGACCAACCAGAAGCCGGTTTCCACTCAGGACGTGAGTTTTCTTTGTTCATATGAATTCTGCCTCACCACGCAGACATGCTGACCGCGTATCCCCATTTAGGCTGAGGCTGTTGCTAAGAAGATCGGAGCCTACAAGTACCTGGAGTGCTCTGCCCGAACCGGCAACGGTGTTCGTGAGGTCTTTGAGCACGCTACTCGTGCCGCCCTCATGTCCCGCACCAGCCGCAAGAGCAGCCACAAGAAGTGCCTTGTCCTGTAAACACGTTTTATCTTTGCGCCCGTCCATCTCAGACGCAATCCGTTTCCATTCTCGGCTCGATTCCCCCCTTTGTTTGTAATTCGATGCGTTTCTTGCTCTTCCTCACGAGCCAGCTGAAACAAACAAATACATGGCTGGTTTGGTGATTAAGGGGATGGATGTCAGCCTCAATGGTATCGGCTGTTTACGGATACAGGTTTTTTCTTTTTTTTTTCCGGGAGATTTGGGATTCGATTGTCTCGTTTCCCGTGTCTCGCTTCGCCGGTGGCCACGGCGAGAAAGGGTTATTATTGGTTGCGTGCATGGTTCTGCAGTCCCATCACCGTCATGGAGTAAGGATTCTCTAGGGAAAGAGATGATTCGCGAGAGAAGGTAAACCAGAAGTTTCCCCCCCTTATGCCTCTGTCATAATGCCGGCGGGCAAGCCGGTCTTGCTTTACTGTATCTTCCCAGTGGTGCGAAGCGGGTCGACGGGCCTAATGTTGGAGGTGTGGCTTTCTTTTTTCTTTAGCTACGAGCGGTTGATGGTTGATTCGGCAGCGTACAGATGGAATAGAAGGGCATGCAGTTTGTCTAGCTTATGGGAGGAGGGAGGAGAGTCACCAGACGAGAAGAATTTGCAAGGAGATGTAAGTAGGTAGTCGTGGATTTGTCGCACTTTTTTGGAAGTTGCCGGGATTCGTGAGCGGTCTCTACAACAGGTTATCATACATTGTTTCGTTTTTTCTTTTCCACTTTCTGCAGTCTCGGGCACGAGCATCTCCGCGCTGTGCTTCTGCTCTTCAACCATCTCCTTTTTTTTTTCTTTTTTTAATTTGGTATGGATGGTTGTAATATTGGTTTATCTTTTACACTGAAGATGCTAGATTGCGAATAACCCATCTTGATTTCCCCGACGGCTGTGAATTTGTCCACGTTGTGGCTCGTGATGTACGCGGCTAGGTATTTGACAGCCTTGCTGCAAGACACGGGTGTAAGGTAATGTTTCCTTGTGGCACAGTGGGTGCCATTGATTTCTCCTACGGCGATAGCTACTCTAGCTGCCTATGGAAAATACGCATGCAATGCTCTCTCCTGTCAACACCTTGCCTTGCTACACTTGATCGTCGTGATATGTCGTTAATCCACTCATTCATCAACCTGCTTCACTTTACCCATCATATGCCATATAGTTATTCTTCTACACGCTCGCCCATCCATCCAGCCTAAGCATCATCTCGTCATCTATAACTGTCGTGACTAAGAAAGGCGTCGAGGCGAGGAGGGAATTCTAGTAGGGCGCTTAGACGGGGCAAGTCTGGAATAAATTCAGTCAGAGTCCGTTTATTGCTTGTCGAGATTGTCTTCTAGGAAGAGAAGAAGAAGAGACTTACGGCACCGCATTTGGAGCAGGTCTTTGAGCTGGAGTCCATGGCGGCGGAGCATTTGGGGCAAGAGGAGTGGTTGAAGTTGACGGGCTGCATTTTGGATGTGTGTAGCTGAAAAGCAAAGCTATTTAAATAGATAGTATGGAGTTGATGGACGAGTTTGGTTGATTGTTGGGGAGAGAGCCTCGGATTTTTTGGAGGTGAGCGGGGTCGTCTGCTTTATATGTCAGGTCAGATAATAAGGGTCTGGTCGCTATGGAGGTGGTTCTAGGACGCGGCACATCGCGGCGGGTGGGCAGTCGGTCATTCGGCAGGTGAGGCGTTGGAGCTTCATTGGCTTGTAGGGAGGGCACTATTTACTATTGAGGATTAACCGCTATTTCATGGATGCTATTAGCTTCACGTTGCATTGTATTAGTGGTGGATGGAACTAGCTACTAGCAGTCACAAAGAGCCAACAGCTTTGAGATTACTGTAACCCTCCTACATGATTCTATATGTTGAGGCATCTTATCTAATGTGCCGTCTATATTCATCAAGTTGGCCAACATGAGAGCACGGATAAAGAAAGGCAAGAGGGGAAAGGCAGGATTGAGGGATCAAATTGTTTTGGAGAAGCCTCTCGGGGCTTGTATCCGCTCTGTTTCGGGGGGGCTTGATTTAGCGGGGGCTGTGTGGGCTCATTTACCATGGGCGTAATGCCTGAGAGGCGATTGGCTGGTGGCGTAGCCGTTGCTTTAGAGCGTATTGAGCTTTGATGCTGTGTGGCATTTGATACGATAGGCAAACAGGCAACGATATGGGGGTTGTGCTGCCTACGTACCTATCTTAGTTAATAAGAGCATCTACATGTACATACAGCTGCTGTTATCTTTCCGTCGGTGACTTATCGGTGTATGTCTGTTGATCCTTGCTACCTGCTTCAGGCAAAAAGGCTGAACCTCCGCGGATTGATCATGTGCTCGCTTTGTGAACCCGTGACAGCCTGTTTTAGGGAAGACGAGAGTGGCCACGCGGATACTTGCGGCGATGCGGCGTGGAAGTGAGGCGAGAAATGAGGCTGCTGACGATGTGTTTCCAAAAGCGGTAGAGGAGAGCTTGGTTGTATCGACGCCTGCTTTGGGGAGGGTTTGTGGCTACCCGGCAGTTGATGAGAATGTTGTCTGGGATTCTGCTATACGCATTGACATGGGTTGAAATGCGGCCTACTTTACGCAAGTTGTACATACATGCACATAGGTACATTGGAGAATCACTGTTCATATCTTCACTGGACGGCGAATTCCATAGATATACGTCTTTATACCTATGGCCCGTCTATGGAAATCAACCACCGCTGGTCTTACACAAAGCCGTGTACCCCAAAAGCGATTACAAAAAAGTCAGAATCCAATCAGACTCCCTTATTGTACATACAGTCCTGTTCAATCCTTCTCCCTACATCTAGGGAGGTTATGCATATTCCTTTGGTTCCATGCTCTCTATATATGTGTGTATTCGTAGTCATACAGTTAACAAGTTCTATAATTTAAGTTCGTGGGCTTTGCTATTCTACGTGCATTGCGCTGTAGTCTCTGAGCCTGTTGGACGATAATTGTCAGTATGATGGATAGGGCAGTTGATGATATCAAGAGAGGACTCACCATTAATCAATTTATCTATTGCCTGAATCACGCTGATCACCATGACGGCAACTCCAAACACCACTATTGCGCCAGCCACATATGTGCGCCAACTCCTCGTCGTCAGCTTGATGTAGCACATGGGCGGCAAGATGTACGCCATGGCCACCGCGCTGGTTGCGCCCACGAGCTCAAAGACGATGCCCAAATCGCATGTTAGCATGCTCAGAGTCGTGGCGCCGGCAACCAGTGCTGTGCTGATGATCAGATGCCGCCGCAGGTCAAACGGCTCGTTGGGATAAAAGTATGTAATCATGACCTCGCGACAGACGAATGCTTCCAGAGGCAGAGTCGTCAGCATGTTGAGTCCAAAGCACAGTCGTGCGACGTTGACCATGGAGTTGTCCGAGGAAAAGTTGTTGAGCACGTTGCCCATTGTCTTGTCGCCAAAGGTGAGGAAGCCGCCGAGGGCCATGATCAGACATGCGAGCATGGAGACGACGGTGGAGTAGTGCGTGACGCGGGAGAAGTTGTCGATTGTGGGGGTCTTGAGGGAGCCGTAGATGAGGAGGGAGTTGTGATGGCAGACAAATGCTACACAGGTCAGCGTTAGCCATGACTTTTTGGTGGTGGTAGTGGAAGGTGTTCATACCAAATGATATCACGCCAATGGCTTGAAAGATGCCGCTGTTGATTGTCAACAGCGGCGTGCTAAAGGACCCGCGGTCCGCAGACGGAACAAGCACGCCTTGCACCAGCACCGTAACGACAATGACCAGCATGCCGATGAGAGCCAGTGTACTCGCCTTGGCCAACTATTTGTTTGAGCAGTGTTGCATTAGCAGGAATTCACTCTCCTCCAGGCATGCCTAGTCTAGATGAACAGCGAATTAGTATCTTACCTTTGCAATGTCCCTGTATAAAGTCAATGGGTAGCTGATTCCCATGCAAAACACCGCAATCGCAACCCTTCTGTTCGTCAACAGCCCCAGGACCGGCACGCTCCCCAGATCCGTCCAGATAGCGGTCAAGACATGCGGAATCGTATCGCCCACAATCACGCCAAAGGCCACCATGCCGCCAAAGGCAAACACCCACTGCGCAACGCTAATGGCAATCAGTCCCGGCCGGCCGAAGCAGTGCTCGACCGTGCCCTGGAAGCTGCTCGTGCCGCTCAGCTTGCTGTTGATGACAATCAGGCAGATGGTCCAGTCCACCACGGCCGTCAGCGCAATGAGCAGCACCGTGCCCGCCAGCAGGCCCGCCTGCCGCATTGCATATGGCTGGCCGATGATGCCGGCGCCGATGATGGAATTGGCCATGTTCATAAAGGCGGACTGCAGCCCGGACTTTGGTCGGCGCAGCTCTGCCGTTGCGGCGCTCTCTTCGTCGCCGTCCTCGCCCGCGTCGTCCCATTCTCGAGCGACCGTGATGCTGGGCGCCTCGATTTCGGTGAGCAGCGGCACGCGGTGGGAGTCGTTGATGGAGGTGGCGCCATCGTCAAAGTCGAATCGGTCGTCGGACGAGAACGACGACGTCGAAGGCCGGCCGTGGAGGGGTCCGTCGCTGAAGTTGAGGATGCGCGGCGTCAGATCGAACTGCACCCGGCCGGGCGTTCGCGGCGTCTTGGATTCGGTCTCAAAGTCGGGCCGCGGCGTCTTGAGCACGCTCGTGGTGATGATGGAGAGGTCGCCTCGCTCCGCCTCGCCGTCGCCCAGCAGGCCGCGGTCCTCGTCGCCAAAGGTGGTCTCGCCGTAGGTTTCTTTGGCCATGGTCATTATAACAGCGTGGCGGCGTCTCGCCCGGTCACCATTTTCGCACCGAGGCAGCCACGGACTAAATAAGAACAAAGGCTGAAAACGAAGAAGTAATGCAATTTCCGCTGCTGCCTGAGCAAGCCGTGCCTAGTATCGCCGCCAAACAAAGTCTATGGGCTGGGAAATATCGCGTCTCCCACGGCCAGATTCAGGGGCTTTGGTGTTTCTCAAATGCTATTGCAACCGGAGTTTGA